GGCCGGTGGCAGCGCAGCCCTGGGCTCTCTGCTCCGTTTTAACCCAATTCCCCTCAATTTAACACCCCCCCACCCCCCTCAAACTGAATTATTAAATACCATCAACTCACTCGGCCGGTTGGCAGCAGCTGAGTCCTCCCCGCGCCCCGACCCGCCTCAAATTGTTTTATAATAATAAAGCAATGCGACATCAGGCCCTAAATGAGGAAGGTGAGTTAATTGCGGTGGGGTCATTAACGTTAGACCCCGGGGTTCGCTTGCCCTGGCACCCCCGGGGGATGCTGCCCCCCAAAATGTTCCCTCCTGGGAGTCTTTGGGGATTTATTTGAGTAAATAGGGTTTTGCTGTTTTTTTTTTTCTTTTTTTCTAGGGAAGGCAATTAAAAAACTCGCTCCCCAGTGCTGTGAAGCGCCGGGCAACACGTAATTAAAACCAAAAATAATAATTTTATTCCAATGAGAGATGTTACGGGAATGACTCCTCTTATTTTTCTCCCCCGCAAACAACTCCTTGTTTTTCCCTCCTAGCTTTGGAATGCCGGGGTTTTTAAAAAATTAAATTTATGTTTATATATATATAGATAGATATAATATTTTTTTTCATAGTTTTATTTCAAGCTGGCTCTCCACCAGCGCCCTTTATTTAGAGGGGGGGGAGGAGGGAAGTGTGTGTTTGGGGCTGGGAGCCGGGAACGTGCCGGCCGGCAGCGCCTCGATGGGGGCAGGAATTAAAAGGAAATTTGCTCTCCCAAACGAAGAAATCTGATGCGCTGCCAGCCCGGCTTCACTCCGGAGTTAAGGGAGCCGGGGACCCGCTCCCTCTGCTTTCTCATCTTAATAACTACTCCATTAGATAAATTTAGGTTAGAAATGATTAATTTATTTTAAGGTAATTAATCGCAGGACCAATTTGCTGCGCTCTCATGGGTGATGCTGAAATCCAGAGCGCGTCTTGAAAGGTGGGGGGGGATAAAAAGGGTTTTTTATTGAAGTAGGGATGCCGGGGGTGCTGGGAGGAGGGAGAACAAGCTCATCCCCCAACCTTTAAATTTAATATTAAATATTATTGAAGCCGGAGATGCTTTTCTGCCCACGGAGCTGGGCTGCCCCAGCTCTTTGCATGCGAAAACATCTCCCGGGCTCGGCGCAGACACTCTTGTGGTTGCAACACTCGGAGGGCTCGTGTCGCCGTCCCCGGCTGACCTTTAAGATAAATAATAAATAAAATAATGCCGCTCTGACTCTAGTTCCCCAGGCTGTGATTTTTCTCCTATGCTGCTAATCTCCCTACCCCCCCTGTTACCCCCCCCCTTTTTTTTTGGCTGCCCCCCCCCAGCGGGTGAGCGCCGGCGCTGTGGCACATGCCGTGGCTTTAGGAGCAGGTTTTACCCGGCCCTCGGTGGGTGCGTAAGTTTTTCCTGGGCTGGGAGCCAAGGCGTAGCCTTCTTATCCCGGGCCATGGCCGGATCCAGTTATCTTCACTCTGGTGAACGTGCACAAGTGTGCAAACAAGCGTGCAAGATGCTGCAAGGGTGCACCCCCCACCTCCCTACCATCACCCCCTGCCTCTGTCCCAAGACAGGACCTCTTAGAGTCAGCCCCTCTGCACGCTCATTAAAGACTCGTGGCTAATTTTTATGGGCTCTTTTTAAATGTGGATTTTCCTGGAATTCCCTCCTGGGACACTTTTTTTTATATATATATATATGTGTTATTTTTTTTAAGGGATTATTCATTTCCTTGTTCTATGAGGCAGGGAACATCCTGAAATCCTTCTGTGCGGAAGGAAAAAAAAAATATAAAAAAGGGATAAAAACATAAGTTGTAAATGCAGCCACAGCCTGCTGTGGGTTTGGGGGGGCTGCTGTTACCCCACGGGTCGGTGTCTATTCGGAGCGTCCCGCTTCCGCCTTTCAGCAATGAAGGAAGCAGGAAGCACCAAAAAGCCAAATTAATCTATTAAAATCACAAGTGCTGCGCTCATCTTCCTATAAGGTATAGGAGTTATAGGGGAAAAAAACTGGGAGTGTTGGATACCTCCGGGCTGTAAATAACTTTATTGCACGAAAGCAAGAAGGGGAAGTATGTTTTGATATTATTTTTTTTTTCCCCTGAACTCCAAATAAAGCTGCTGTTTTCTGCAAGCAGTTAAAAAGGAAACCCAACAAACCCCACACGTGGTTTTGCAGAAGTTTCCCATGCAAGGCTGCCCTTAAAAAAATCAACTTTTTTATTTATTTATTTTTTTCCTCTCTCTCTCTCTAACTCGCCATCTTAAGCCTCTCCTTTAATGGCGAGGTTAGAGCCGAAAGGCTCCCGGATCGGGCCGGGCAGCGTGTTTGGAACTGGGAAGCCCGAAGGGAGCGGGAGGAGCTGACTCACACTGACCCTGCCCGGGGAGAGAGAGCCTCCAAAAAATGCCGGCAGCTTCCTACCAGCTCTGTCCCTTCGCCTCTTCAAGCTGCTGGAGTTTAATAGAAACATTATCTTTATATATATATATATATGTATTTTTTTTTTAGGTGAAAAATGTAAGTTTGGTGTGTTTGGGTTGGGTTTTTTGGTTCTGTTTTTGTTCTTTTTTTTTTCTTTTTTTACAATTGTATTATTTAATCCCTGGTGGGGTAGCGTGGTGGTGTTGGAGTGAGGAGGTGTTGGTCCCTGCTGCTTTCCCGGAGCAAAGTTCAGCCGTGCTGGTTGTGCTGCATCCCCATCCCCGTGGCACAGCGTGACTCACTGCCCGCTCCCCCGGCATGGGGCTCCGCGCCTGCCCGGCCTTCAGCCGTGCCAAGCAAAAAAAGCTGCTACCCCAAAAAGTGAGGGATTGCACCCCAAAAAGCGAAGAAAAATCACCCCAGAAAGGGGGGAAAAAAAATATCCCCCAAACAACCCAAAGAGCAAAAAAACCCTTATTTTTGTTTTGTAACAACACTTATTCAAGCACAGGTTTCTTTTGGCAGTCTGGGTGCTGCCCGTTGCAGCGGGCGGATGGATAAGGTCAGAGTCAGGAATTTTGGATATTTTTTTTTTGTCTTTTTCCTTGTTTTTCTGGGATACCAGCAGCTTTCCAGCCTGTTTTTGCCCTCCCAAACGGGGCATTTTCTTCTCAGGGTGGGTCTCTTCATAAGCGTCGACCAAAACGAAGTGCCAAAACCTCCCTGATAAGTTGTGTGGGGGCCAAGCCTAATTAATGAGCTTCATTAATGGGGCTGGCTTTATTCCCTGTTGCTTTTTCCCTGCAAACTTTAACTCAGGGGGAGGTGGCTTGGCTGGAGAGGCGAGGTCAGTGAGCAGCACTTATTTATTTATATTATTTATTTTAAAAAAAAATAAGAAAATACTTCTTAAATAAGAAAACATCTATTTTATTTGTGTGTGTGCTTTGCAATTAGCCCTCCCGATTTAGGATTTGCGTTTAGGTGGGGTCTGACTGGCACCAATCCCTAGGGATGCCGGGGGAGCATCCTTGGGTTGGGGTGATGCACCGGTGCCTGGGATAACCAGGAAGAGCCCAGCCCCCCAAATTAAGGGGCTTATAAGTTTCACGTGGATCATCCCAAAGCTGATTAACCGGGAATGTCGGATCCTGGTTCTCGGAGCTGAGCACCGGGAAAATCTCCTGCCTGGGATAATTGGGCTGTTAACGAAGGTGGCCCGAGTGCTGGCCTGCCCTGACCCCGCTCCCAAACAAGGCTCCGATTGTCGCTCTGACTTAAGCAGGAGGAAGAGGAGGCGGGCAAAGGGTTTGCCAAATAGCTGGGATTTTGCTTAGCGACTGTTAATTAGGCCCCGATGCAAAAACTTCGTTAGTGGTGGCTGTCTGGGGCATCCTTGTGCCGGTGCCGGGACAATGCTGGGGCCGGCCGACGGCGTCAACAAAAGCATCTCGTGCTGGCGTGCTGCCTGCCTGTCACGTGGAGCCCTTGGAGGGGACCCTGCGAGCCCAGATAAAACCTGCCCTACTCTGGAGGCAAAAAAAAAAATTCCTGGAATCCCCAAACAGTATTTTTTTTCCCCTTAGCCCACGTGGGTGCCATTAATAATAAAAAAAAAAGGCAAGTTTTCTCTTTTTAACGTGGATGTTTGTGCTCGCAACCTTATGGCATCCCTCCTCCTCTCGCAGTTCGGGGGGAGAAGCGCTGGGGGAAGCTCTCTGATGCTTGGGGGGGGGGTGGTGAGGGGGGGGGGGCACAGCTGGGACCCCAAGTTTAACCCCTCCTTTTTGTTCTCTTCCCCCTTGTCCTGCAGATGACGGCTCGCCTGATGCTCGCCGTGGGAGGAGCGGTGCTGGGTTCCTTGCAATTCGGCTACAACACCGGCGTCATCAACGCCCCGCAGAAGGTGAGCGTGTGCCCAGCAGCTCTGCCCTAGCAAAATTCCACCACCACCACCCCCCCCAGCCCCGTGCCCGAAAACAAACCTGCATTTGCTACCAGCCTGGCTAAAATAGTACATCCCGCTAGGCAGCTTACTGCCTGTAATGAGATTTGCGAGGGAGTTGTTTAGCTCCCGCCTTCCCAGGAGAATTAGTTTCCTCCTCACTTAGCGTTTTTTGCCGGGAGAAATCCCAGGAACACATGCAGGATGCTCTCTGGGTGGGACCGGCGTAACTCTTAACCTCTGCTCTTAGGGGAGGTCTGAGAGCTAATTAGGGTTTGAGTTGTCTCGAGGGGCAATGACCATGGGAAGTGTTTGCTCCTTCCCCTAGCGTAGTGCCAGGGCCCTTCAGCGCCTGGTAGGTACGTGGGAGCCTTAGAAAAACCCTGACTTTCCCCAAATTGCGTGGCTTTTGGAGGTGTTAGCAGCTTGGAGGTGTTAGCTCAGAAATTCCACGTGGTGCTCGCAGCGTGCCCTGGGTAACGCTCCGCTGCCAGGGTGAGGTGTGGAAGGACAAACCAGGGTCCAGCTGCTGCTGCTGCACAAGGGCAGAGCCTGTCCCCCAGCATCATCACAGCCTCTTGTGCACCATCCCAAACAATTAAAATGACCGAGGCAGGATTTGTGCCATGAGATTAATCCCATTACCAGATCTCCAGAGGTCCCTTCCCAACCCCATATCATTCTATGATCAAACGTGCTGCAAAATCTCACCTCAAGGGCTGGAAAAGCTCCCTGCGGGAGAGAAGACCCTGTGCAAAAACTTCCCAGACCCCCGTCAGCGTGGAAAGAGCCAAAAATGTGCAAATTGCCTTTATCTGAGGTATTGCATTAAGTTGTATTTAATCATTCTGAGTGGCCTGAGCGGGACTTCATGCAGCTGGAGGCTGTGGCTCCTGTCCAGCCCCCTCGGTGCTTGCACCCGTGGCCACGGTGTGTGTGTGTCCCTGCCAAAAACATCGTGCCCTTGAAAAATCCTGACCCGGTCTCACCCTCCCCTGGACCGACCCACACGGGCGATGTTTGTGCTTGGCAGCTGAGAGCATCCCCCTCCAGAGATGGGAGATGGGAGCGGTGTTTGAAATAGCTTGGAGACAGGAAAATCCCTGGGAATGTGCTGAGGGGCTGCTCCCTGGTTTTTTCCCCCCCGAGCTCTGAAGGATTTTTCTCCCTCCTCCCCTGACCCAGGAGATGCTGCTCCGGGTGACGTGGGCAGGGACCCACGGCAGAGCCAGGGTCTCCCCTCAGCACTGAGCTCCAGTTCCTACAGCCCCCCCCGTGGGTGTTGCCTCGGTTTCCCCTTCTGTGTTTTAGGATTAAACCCTCGGGGCTCGGGTCGGGGATGGGCTGTGTATTTGAGGAGCGAGTCACCCAGTGAGTGACGCTGTGTTCGGGGTGTGGAGCTGACAGGGGGGAAATGATTTGGGGTGTTGTGTATGGGGGAGCACGAGGGGAGGCAGGGTGGGTGCTGCCCTGGGTAGGGGGAGGCTCCAGGCATGGGGCTTTGTCCCACCCTTAGAGGTGGGGATGAATTGGGGTGTGGGATGGGGGTGCAGGATTGGGATGGGGACAAACTGGGGTGCGGGATGGGGGTGCAGGATTGGGATGGGGATGAATTGGGGTGTGGGATGGGGGTGCAGGATTGGGATGGGGATGAATTGGGGTGCATTGCTGTTGGGATTCATCAGTGTGCAGGGTTGGGATGGGGATGCAACGGGTTAAATTGGGGCCCAGGACTGGGATAAATTGGGGCTGGGATACAGCATGGGGATGCATCAGTGCACAGGACTGGGGATACATGGGGGTGCAGAGTTGGGATGGGGATGCATCGGGCTGGGATGGGGATACTTTGGGATTGGGATGCATCAAAGAGTGGAATGGAGGTACATCAGGATCAACTGGGGTGGAGGATTGGGCTAAACTTGGGGGGCAGGATTGGGGTGGGGATGCATCGGGGCTGGGATACAGGATTGGGATGCATCGGGGTGTGTCAGGGCACAGGACTGGGATGGGGCTGCACTGGGGCGTGGGATTGGGATGCACTGGATTGGGAGGATTGGGACTGGGATGCGTCCTCCCCCCGGCTGCAGCGTTTCCCCAGCCCCTGCTGGCAGCAGCAGCCTCACAGAAAGGCTCCTTTCTCCCGCGGAGGGCTGATGCTGGGTTTGTGGTCCTCTTAATATAGTCCTCCCGCTGCTGAACCAGCGGCGTGGTGTCTGTGGGGTGTTTGCAGACGTGCTGTGTGGAGGGGACGGCCCGAAACCAGGCCAGGGCTGGTAGAAAACACTCAGCTGAAATTAAATGGGGGGGAGGAGGAAAGTGTGTGTGTGAAAGAACCCCAACTTCTAAGAAATGCAATTATTTTTTTTTTTTTTCATACTGCCCACTTTAAACTCGCAGTTTTTCATCTCCTCCCAACAGCAGCTCATGGTGGGTTTTTCCCAGCGTTTCCCCAGCCCCTGCTGGCAGCAGCAGCCTCACAGAAAGGCTCCTTTCTCCCGCGGAGGGCTGATGCTGGGTTTGTGGTCCTCTTAATATAGTCCTCCCGCTGCTGAACCAGCGGCGTGGTGTCTGTGGGGTGTTTGCAGACGTGCTGTGTGGAGGGGACGGCCCGAAACCAGGCCAGGGCTGGTAGAAAACACTCAGCTGAAATTAAATGGGGGGGAGGAGGAAAGTGTGTGTGTGAAAGAACCCCAACTTCTAAGAAATGCAATTATTATTTTTTTTTTTCATACTGCCCACTTTAAACTCACAATTTTTCATCTCCTCTACTCCCAACAGCAGCTCATGGTGGGTTTTTCCATTCATCTTTTTTTTTTTGCAGGACGAAAGGCAGCCAGGAGAAGGGTATTTGGGTGCTATTTTTTGTAAGCCAAAGCCTAAGGTAGCTCAGGCAGTGCTGGGGCATCCACTGTCACTTGGATTGATCTTTCTCTGCTTCAAGGGGGAAGAGCTGGAGGCTTTGGGGACAGTAGGGAGGAATTTAGAGCACTGCAAGGTTTGGTGGGGTGTGTGCAGAGACCTGCTTACCCCCCCGAGTAAGCAGGGGGCCAGAGCCAGTCCTGGGGGCTCCAAATAATATTGATTATTTCTTTTGGTGGTGATAGGAAAAGGGGAAAAAGCCCCCTTTGGCATCAAAACCTTCAGGAGAAGCAGGAGGCAAACAAAATCACTTGAAAATTGCAATCCTAATGGTTTAGGGCCTATATAAAAGGAGCAACTTAAAACAAATTTCCATTATTGAAATGTATAGTGCAGGTGGGGTGTGTTTCCTGCCCTGCCTCTGCCAGGGACTCCCGTTTCTGCTTGAAGAGATGGGAAAACTAGAAAACGAAGCAATGATTGTGCAAATACTTGCTGGGGAGCTGAGTTTGGGTGAAACCCCGTGAAGCAGCGAGGTCTCTGAGCCGCCCCGTGTCCGGCAGCGGCCGCGTGAAACCTCTGCTCCTTCCAGCCAGAGATGGGCTGGTTGGGCGGGTTATTGAGCCCTTTGTTTTGAGGATGGGTGACTCTTAAATAACTCACTTGAAGCTTTCAGCTGTGGGCTGGCTTTAAAAAGACAATTAAAAAAAATATATAGAAAATATATATAAAAAAGGGTGTTTAAAAAAGGGTGTTCTGCCAAGGCAATGACTAAAACCAAGCACCTGTCTTGGATTGCAGAAGCATTGTGGAGTTAGAGCTGAAGTATTGCGTTATGGAAGTATTACAGGCAAAAAACCCTAGAAATTCAGCTCAAGGGAGTGTCTGGGGAGATGGGAATTGGTCTTGGCCACCTCCATCTGCCTGGGCAACCCTGCTGTCTTCCTCACCTTCCTCCGGCATCTCACGGGGAGCAGCCCCACCGTGCTGCTTCTCCTGCGGGGACGGAGACATCCCTCCCTGCCTGCCGTGCCCCGGGGAGGAGCGTGACCTCCCGGTGCCCGCCCGGCGAGGCGAAAGAGGTATTTTGGCAACGCCAAGTCTCGGCAGGGCGAGCCCAGAACCCGTCCGGCTGCATTTCCCCTGCGCATCCCGGCAGGTCTCCTCCCTTGGGTTGGAGCTGAGCCACCGCCTGGGCGGCTCCCAGCCCCGTGATGCATTGTCTTGTGAGCCACGCTCACCGGGCAGGGGACTGCAGGTGGCTGGGCTGAGCCCGGGCAACTCGTAACACAGATGAAATGGAGGTGGTTTTAACCCTTGGCTTGGTTTCTTCCCCCTCCTCTTTCATAGGTGATCGAGGACTTCTACAACCGCACCTGGCTGTACCGGTATGAGGAGCCCATCAGCCCCGCCACCCTCACCACGCTCTGGTCCCTCTCTGTCGCCATCTTCTCCGTCGGAGGCATGATCGGATCCTTCTCCGTGGGGCTCTTTGTCAATCGCTTTGGACGGTGAGCACCCAGGGTGGTGGACCCTGATGGAGGGGTTGTACGGCCCCACCCCATCCCAGGGACAACTCCCTCCTTCCACGAGCTGATGGTTGGGTCCTTCTGACACCCCTTCAGCCTCTCCAACCACCGTGGTCCTTCTCACTTCTCACTCCTCACTCTCCTCCCTTCCTTCCCCAGGCGCAACTCCATGCTGATGTCCAACATTCTTGCCTTCGTGTCTGCCGTCCTCATGGGCTTCTCCAAGATGGCTTTGTCCTTTGAGATGCTCATCCTCGGCCGTTTTGTTATTGGCCTCTACTCTGGCCTCACCACCGGTTTTGTGCCCATGTATGTGGGCGAGGTGTCACCCACCGCACTGCGGGGCGCACTGGGGACCCTCCACCAGCTTGGCATCGTCTTGGGCATCCTCATTGCCCAGGTAAGTGCTGGAGAACCAGATGGGGGGGTTCCTGCTGGTTGATGCTGATGTTCATCAGGGGCTGCAGGGGCTGGGGCTTCACACAGAGCGTTGTCCGTGCTGTGGGTCTTCGTGGTCCCTCAGAAGGGGCTGGAAGGGTGGACCTGGAGCTCAGGAGGAGCAGGAATGTTAAGAGATCTTAAGGTTTGGGATGGGCAGTGTCATGACACGATGCCTGTTGGCCACCTGGAAGCAGCACAGTTGGTCCATGCCCCTCTGGTGGGTGTCCAAGCCCGTAGTGCACCCATGGACAGCAGAGGTGGGTCCAGCTTGGGTCGGGGAAGGGTGGCTCAACCCCTCTCGTCCTCAGGTGTTCGGTTTGGACTTGATCATGGGAAACGACTCGCTCTGGCCGTTGCTCCTGGGGTTCATCTTCGTCCCTGCCCTGCTGCAGTGCATCATCCTACCCTTCGCCCCCGAGAGCCCCCGCTTCCTCCTCATCAACCGCAACGAGGAGAACAAAGCCAAGAGCGGTGAGTGACCCCCATAGAATCGTCTAGGTTGGAAGGGACCTTAAAGATCATCTAGTCCAACCATCAACCTAACCATCAACCATCCCTGAGCTCGTCCCACCACACTGAGGGTCCTCAGCTGCTCCTGACTCTACCTCTTCCCCTTAGTCCTCAAGAAGCTGCGTGGCACGACGGACGTCAGCAGCGACCTCCAGGAGATGAAGGAGGAGAGCCGGCAAATGATGAGGGAGAAGAAGGTCACCATAATGGAGCTCTTCCGTTCCCCCATGTATCGGCAGCCCATCCTCATCGCCATCGTCCTGCAGCTCTCCCAGCAGCTCTCGGGGATCAACGCGGTGAGTTTGGGGTGGGGGGAGCAGGTACTGTGGGCTCAGCTGGTTTCACCCGGAACTTGGGTTGTGCAGGTTCCAGGTCAGGGTCAGCTGGTGGGTCGATGCCAGACCTGACATCCCTTCCCTTTGTAGGTCTTCTACTACTCCACCAGCATCTTTGAGAAGTCAGGTGTGGAGCAGCCCGTCTATGCCACCATCGGCTCTGGCGTGGTGAATACAGCTTTCACGGTTGTTTCGGTGAGTGTTGGCCCATCAAGCTCTCACCGGAGGAGGTGGAGAGAAAGGGGCTTCCCCTCAGGCTGGGGATGTGCTGATGGACACGTGTCTCCATCCGACAGCTCTTTGTGGTGGAACGAGCCGGACGCAGGACCCTGCACCTCATTGGCCTGGCGGGGATGGCAGGCTGTGCCGTGCTCATGACCATCGCCCTGACGCTGCTGGTGAGTGGTGGGCGTTGAGGGGGGATGGGTGGGCTGGGAGGAGGTCCTCGTGCTGCCCCTCGCTGTGGTGGCTTGGAGAGGGAGGTCTGGTTGGAGAGGAGGAAGGACTTGTCCTCCTAGAGGTGATGGTGGAGTGGTCCCCACTGCCCACATCTCCTGAGGTCCCAGAAACCCAGTCTCTGATCCAGAGGAAGCTCTGCCAGCACCCCCCTGGCTTGAGTCTCCTCGTCTGGGATGAGCAGCTGCTTCCATCCCCCTTCACTGACCCAACCTGCTCTCTCTCTCCCTCGCTCTAGGACCAAATGCCCTGGATGTCCTACCTCAGCATCGTGGCCATCTTTGGGTTCGTGGCCTTCTTTGAGATCGGCCCAGGCCCCATCCCTTGGTTTATCGTGGCAGAACTGTTCAGCCAAGGCCCTCGTCCCGCTGCCTTCGCCGTTGCCGGACTCTCCAACTGGACCTCGAACTTCATCGTGGGCATGGGCTTCCAGTACATCGAGGTAATCATCTCCTGATGCTCTTGGTGGGAATGGGGTTGGAGGTGCCAGCCTGGCAGTGGTGGGGTTGGTGTGACTTCTCCTGAGCCCTAAAATCTGGGCTGAGACGGGTTTGGTTGGACAAACCCCCTGGGGAAGCAGGATGGGGCCAGGATCTGGGGAAGGAGTTGATGATCCTTGTGGTTCCCTTCCAACTGGAGGTATCTCTGGGAGGGAAGGAGAAGCAGGTCCTGGACCACCCTGGTGGGGTGGCCGTGAGATGGTCCTTCAGCCGTGGTCCATCTCCCCGCTCCCGGCAGCGGTGATGGGGCACCACCTCCCGCCACGTGCTCACCCCCTTTTCTCCTCTTCTCTCCTTCCCAGCAACTCTGCGGCTCCTACGTCTTCATCATCTTCACGGTGCTGCTCGTCCTCTTCTTCATCTTCACCTACTTCAAGGTGCCGGAGACCAAGGGCCGGACCTTCGACGAGATCGCCTCTGGTTTCCGGCAGGGGGGCGCGGGGCAGAGCGACAAGACCCCGGACGAGTTCCACAGCTTGGGCGCCGACTCCCAGGTCTAACCGCGATTTCAAAGCCAATAATAGGTGTTTTACAAAGCGACCGCGCGGCCCCCGCCAGCCGGGGGGGGAGGGGGGGGCAGCCCCCACTTTTAACGACGCGATAGGTTATTTAACGAGAAATCACGTAGCGGAAGTTTTTAAAGCTGGAAACTTACGGTTTGGTTCTTTTTAACGTTCTAATCGTAGAAAAAAAAAAATCACGTAAATTGACTAAATCTAAACCAAGGATTATTATTTTTTTTTTTAAAAAGAACAAAATGGAGTTGTTTTTTTTAAAGCAGTTGCATTGATTTCAAGCCCCCGGAGGTGGGGGTTTCCTGGCGGGAAAGGCTGATACCCCATCGTGCAGCCCCGGCTCCTCTCCTCTGCCTGAATTTCACCCAGGAGGGGAGAAGGGAAGGGGGGGCTGGGGGGGGGTCACGTCTCTTATTTTTGGGGTTAATCTCGGCAATATTTGCCACACACTACAGCGACCCCCCCTCCCCATCGCTGCCACCCGCCCCCCGCGCTCACGCGGACACATCCATTTCCCGCTCTGTGTATAGACTGGAAGATATTTATATTATATATATTTTTGTTCAATGGTTGTTAATAGTAGACGTTTAAGTTATAGCGTTTCTGATTTTTTGAGGAGCAACGTACTGTAAATATTCCTGGAGTATATTCACCTTGTATAATGTATACAAAAAAAAAAAGGTACAGATGCAAAGGTATAGTTTCTATAGCGACTAAAAAGGCTTGTACATGGTTAGGAGGACTTTTTGTATAGTTCATTACCTGCACTGTAGTTGTATCTATTGCACTGAATTCCAGGCTGTAGTATATTAAAAAAAAAAAAAAAGAGAGATACTCTCCTTTTCGAACTAAAAACCAAACCAAACCCTCCCGAGAACTCATCCCTTCTCCCCGCGAGCAGCTGGCGTGGGAGCTTTTTTTTTAAAAAGTATTTCTTTTTTTTTTTTTGTATTTATTTGTCTGGTTTGGAAGTGAATTCACTTGACCACACTTGAAAGCAAACAAAGGTAGGGAGGAGGGAAAAAAAAACTCAAACAAAAAAAAAAAGCTCTCGAACTCCCCTGTGCTCAGCTGGTGGCGCAGACGCCACCCCCCAGCTCTCTGTTTTTTAAAGAAATACATAAAACCGAAAAAAATAAGTGCCAAGCGGAAGGTGTGTGGTGTGCTAACAATAAACAGAATGTATGCAGCGACCCCCCCGCCGCCTCCCGTCCCTTCATTTCGGCTCTGGGAGGGGATCTCCCCCCACCCCTAACTCCCTGATGGGGGGAAGCGCCTCATCCTCATCCTCCTCCTCCTCCTCCCAGCCCCATCCCTGCTCACACACCCTCACTTGTGCCGGCGCTGACCCTGCTCCCTGGGAATTCCCGCTGCCGGGGCCACGGAGGAGCCGGGAGGGGAGATTGTGTCCCCCATCTCCACCTTGGGGCCACTGTGGAGCCCTGGTTTTTGGGGACGCTGCTCCCACCGTCTTCCCTAAACTTGGGGGAAGCACCTCATCCTCCTCCTCCTCTTCCTCCTCCCAGCCCGGTCCCTGCTCACACACCCTCACTTGTGCTGGTGCTGACCCTGCTCCCTGGGAATTCCTGCTGCCGGGGCCATGGAGGAGCCGGGAGGGGAGATTGTCTCCCCCCATCTCTGCCCCGGGGCTGCTGTGGAGCCCCAGTTTTGGGGCTGCTGCTCCCACCGTCTTCCCTAAACTTGGGGGTTGTGGGGACTGGAGCCACCCGGCTCCTTTGGGGGCTCCTGGCCCCCAACTGCAGTGAGTGGTGGCCCCTGGGCTCGCACAGGCCCAGCCCCGCGGGTCCTTGGGCTGCACAAATCCCTGGGAAGCTTTTCCACCCCTCCCTGGGTGCTCGACCAGGGTTTCATCGCCCCGAGCAGCTCCAGCCTCAAGCCACCCCCGGCCAGGACCCCAACCCTCTCCCCAGGGCTGGGGGGGACGGAGGAGCCCTCACCTCCCGCACCCCCGGGGGGCAGGGAGGGAGGCGGCTGCTCCTCCGCCAATTTCTTTTCTTTCCCCTCTAACAGCGAAGGTGCCAAGAGCTGCAAGTCTGAACACTTTCGGGCAAAGAAACGCTGATCTTGGTCACTTCAGGCCTTTTTTCTATTTATTGAAAAACTCCATTTACTATTCAGCCTCTTTGCCCCTGGGAACGGCTGCTGCGGCGTTGTAGGAAATCGCTGTTGGAAAAAAAGTCTTTCAAAGGGCCCCCAAAATGGTGTTTATTTGCCCAGGGCTCCCCTCCGGGCCCGTGCCCCCCTTTCCCCTCCTGCAGATGCTCTGCTCTGTGCAAAGTTCCTTTTCACGCCGTTTTTTGGTGGCGTTGAGGAGGTGGGGCAGGCTGAGCCGGGCTGCGGAGCCTCCCCACAGGGATTACCGCCGGCGCCTCCAAATCCCCGGCCGCGGTGACCCCAATCCCTGCGCCCCGGGGCACGGTGCCAGCGGGCACAGTCCTGGCCTGGAGCTCGTTCCAGCTGCAGAGGGACCCGCTGGGGTGGGGGGACACGTGTCCACCAGCATCTCCCCCCAGAGCGCTCACAGGTCTCCCACCCATCACCCGTGGGGCCCCTTGTGCCCCCCTGCCTGCCCCACATAAGGAAACGGGGGCTGAAGCGGGGCCTTTCCCTTCACGGGCAGCATCAATCCCTTCTGACTGCTCAGGTCCCGGCTTGACGGAGCGTTCGGAAAGCGCTCTTGACTCGGGCCCAGCTCGGGGAGGCAATTAACCGCGCTCATAAATCCTCCTGAAGTAAATGAGAGTTAATCGCCGGCTGGGGCTGAGCCACGCTCAGAGGGGCCCGGTTCCCCCAACCCCCTTCCCGGCCGCGCGGCATCACACGCTCCGGGGGCTGCTCCCGGGGGGACCCCGTCCCCTCCTGCTCCCCGGGGGCTCCCCCAGCCCCTCGGCCTCCCCTCCACGGGTGACACGGACCCCGGGGGGACCCGGAGCTGGGACCCTGCTGGGCGCCGGGTGACAGGGGTGGCAGTTAACGGCCCGTGCGACACGAGGAAACCACGTCAGCTTTGGGCTGGAAGCTCCGAGTGGAGCTCGGCGGCCTCTTCATCCTCCCCCTCGGGGCTGTCTCTACTCCCTCGTGTTCTCGAGGTTCCTCCTGGCTGCGGGTTCTTCCAGGAGCGGAGCGAAAGCCCCATGGAAAGGGAGAGTGGGAGACAGAGGGGCAGCACCCAAGCGAGCCCGGCCAGGTCCTGGGGGACATGAGGGTCCTGATGGACCTGGGGGCAGAGGACAACCAGTGAGGACCCTCCCTGGTGTCTCCCCCATCAAACTGGAAGGCCAACGGAGGAAAAGAGGTGACACACACACACCCACACCGCCCGTGCGACACGAGGAAACCACGTCAGCTTTGGGCTGGAAGCTCCGAGTGGAGCTCGGCGGCCTCTTCATCCTCCCCCTCGGGGCTGTCTCTACTCCCTCGTGTTCTCGAGGTTCCTCCTGGCTGCGGGTTCTTCCAGGAGCGGAGCGAAAGCCCCATGGAAAGGGAGAGTGGGAGACAGAGGGGCAGCACCCAAGCGAGCCCGGCCAGGTCCTGGGTGGGATCTTCCAGGAGCGGAGCGAAAGCCCCGCAGAAAGGGAGAGCGGGAGACAGAGGGGCAGCACCCGCAGGAGCCCGGCCAGGTCCTGGGGGACACGAGGGTCCTGATGGACCTGGGGGCAGAGGACAACCAGTGAGGACCCTCCCTGGTGTCTCCCCCATCAAACTGGAAGGCCAACGGAGGAAAAGAGGTGACACACACACACCCACACACACACCCCTCTCTGCCGGCCCCGGCTCCGGCCGGGCGATGGGAGGACGTAAGAGGCTGTTTGCTCACTCGTAAATCTCTGGGTAATGATTTATGGGCCCCGTGTCAGTCGGGCTTTTGTTTCCCTCCCCGGCGCTGCTGCTCCGCAAGGTTGGGCAGCACGTGAAAATTAACTCACCCCAAAGTGTTTTAATTTCCAAAGCCCTCCGGGCACAAAGGGGACACGTCGGGGATGGTGGCGGCGGCAGGAAGGACCCGCGGCTTGGGAGGCTCTTTGTTTTCAGCCTTAAATTTCAGCATTTCAGTGTTAAAGCGAGAACTGGCCCCAACCCCGGGCTCTGGGAGAAATTCTTTATTCCGTGCAGGAGTTAATCAGCGTTAACAAGTGACCAACGGTTTCCAGAGACTCTCGCTGGGGCAGTTGTTTCGCCAGGTGGAGGGCTCTGCTCCCCGCCTCCCGGGCCTGGAACCAAACCCAGGAGACAAAGGACCGGTCAGGAATTTGGCTTTTCTGGAGCGTGGGGGGAGGTGAAATACCTGCGGAGGCTCTGGGAGGCGGCGCTGGGGCGGCTCCAGGCCCCGCTGCCGGGGGTGACCCCGCACAAGCTGCTTTGCGGGGAGAGAAAAGCCGCCAGGAGACACCGGGCGGAGGATCCCGTGGGGCAGAGGGAAGGGATTACCGGCCCCAGCCCCCACCTCCCTCCCGAGCTGCTGCTCCTCCCAGCATTCCCAAAGCTGTTCCGGGGGGGAAAGAAAAAACCCCGGTTTTATTGATTCTATCTGAACTAAATCCCTCATTTCCCTTGGTAGCTCTTCCAGGGATAAGACACTCTCACAATTATAAAGCCTGACTCGCTCTGATACAATGAGGAGACCATTAGTAATTGGTGTTTTCACCCTCCAAAGCACAGGCAGAAGAAACTCGGGCTTTTGAGTGTTGGCCCCGACAGAGAGGCCTCATTTCCAGCTGGTCCCTGCTCAGCCCTTCCTCGGATCCCCATGGCTTTGGGCACTCTGAAGCCAGGGCTCACATGTGAAATTTTTAGTCATAAAAATACAGGGGTGGGAATTCCAAACTGACCTACAGGGTCCCATAGAGCCAACCCCCACAAACATCCCAGTAATTCCAGGGCACCCAGCTCCAGGAGGGACCGTGGTGAGGTCCAGGTCTCACCATGAAACATCCCACCTGACACCCAAACCCAGGCTGGGACAGGATGTCCCAGGGACATGGGAGTGAGGGACAGACCCAGGGTAACTACAGGATGTCCTCATCACAGGAAGGACATGGACCTGTTGGAGCGGGGCCAGAGGAGGCCATGGAGATGCTGGGAGGGCTGGAGCCCCTCTGCTGGGAGGGGGGGCTGAGAGAGTTGGGGGGGTTCAGCCTGGAGAAGAGAAGGCTCCGGGGAGACCTCAGAGCCCCTTCCAGTCCCTCAAGGGGCTCCAGGAGAGATGGGGAGGGACTCTGGATGAGGGAGGGAGCCCTAGGAGGAGGGGGAAGGGTTTGACACTGAAAGAGGGGAGATGGAGCTGAGATGTGGGGAAGAACTTGTTTGGTGTGAGGGTGGTGAGAGCCTGGCCCACGTTGCACCGAGAAGCTGTGGCTGTCCAATGCCTGGAGGGGTTCAAGGGCAGGTTGGAGGGGGCTTGGAGCAACCTGGGCTGGTGGGAGGTGTCCCTGCCCAGGGCAGGGGGTGGCACTGGGGGGCCTTTAAGGTCCCTTCCAACCCAAACCATTCTGATTTTAAGACTCTATGATGTGCATGGCCTGGCAGAGACATTTTATGACTCTATGATGTGCATGGCCTGGCAGAGACCAGACTGTGGGGGCTGTGTCATCCTCGGCAGGGCGCAGAGGGCGAACTGGCCTCGTGCAGAGCTCCTGAGGCAGCTTTGTCCCCGGTCACCCAGGACCCAGGAGCGAGGCTGCTGTGGGCTCAGGAGAGGTGCCGGGTGGGCACAGGCTTCACGGGACGGGGCCGGTGCCAAAACAGAGTCTGGCAACGCTCCTGAGCCCTCTGGCCAGAGGAAACCACCAGCTATGGTTGGGCTCGGTGATCTCAGAGGTCCCTTCCAACCATGAAGATTCTGTGAAGCCTACCTTTGGTAAATCCCTGGCCAGGTAATACAGCATGGCAAGGGCGTGCAGGACCCCCGCGGTCTCCCCGGGCTGTTGCTCTGGTGCCCGTTCTCTGACACCCAACACGGTGCTCAGCACCCGGGTGGCCTCCGCTCGCTGGGCTTCTGCTGCAAGAACAAACCCATCGGGTCAGACGAGGGACGGGAGCGAGATCATGCGTTCAGAACTGTCCAGTTATCTCCCCTAGACATCAAAGCATTGCTGCTGTGAGCATCACCGCCGCATCCCAGCTCCATGCAAATTCCACACCCATTAACAGATCTCTTTTCATCCCGCCAGTAATTGTGTTGACGGGCCTTGGGTGAGGATGTGGAGTCAGAACAGCACCCCTGAAAAGAGCAACTTTCCTGCTCCTGTCACAACCGAGGCCGGTGTCCTGCAGCCCTGTCCTGCTGGGGTTCCTCCTGGATGGAGACAAGGCCGGGCGGTGGCATTTATGGAAATAAAGCAACTCTGACAATATTCTTACGAGCATTAATGGTAGGAAGAGGAGAAGGAGCAGAGTGTGGTCCCCTTCAGCGGAGCGCAGGGCAACGCCATCACAGCAGCCCCCTTCCTGCTGCTCTGTGCACCTTTATGTCCCCATGAGAGACCCCCCACCTCCTCTCCCGAGATCCTTCTCCAGATTAACACACCCAGTCACCAGCACGTGCCGTTCCATCGTGTCCCACTGCTCCAGAAGACAGAGCTGTGCACCTGCCTAAGCGAGAGGAGACCTCACTTTCTCATCATTACATGAGAATGTCCAAGTGGAAAGGAATCCTGAAAGGCCAGATCTTGTGTTGTTACGGTCCCTGCCAAGGGCACAGTGAAAAGGAGCATGGAAAGAAAAAGGACAAAGCTGCGTTTCCACTCCAACACCCTCATTCCTAAAGTGGCCTCCTTTGTCTCCTCCAGCTCAATCCACTGAGCACTGACAGCAGACATTCCCCCGATTCCCACTCAAGTTGCCCTACAGAAACACCACACAAAGCCCAAGGCTGCAGACAGGAGCAGTGGGATGTTCAGATTCCTTAACATAGAATCATAGAATCATAGAATCGTCCAGGTTGGAAGAGACCCTTGGGATCATCGAGTCCAACCATCTCCCCTACTCTACAAAGTCCTCCCCTACACCATGTCCCTCAGCACTGCATCTAAACGGCCCTTAAACACAGCCAGGGATGGGGACTCCACCCCCTCCCTGGGCAGCCTGTTCCAATGCCCGACCACTCTTTCGGTGAAAAATTCCTTCCTAATGTTCAATCTAAACCTCCCCTGTTGGAGCTTGAAGCCATTCCCTCTCGTTCTGTCACTAATTACCTGTGAGAAGAGACCAGCACCAACCTCTCTACAGTGTCCTTTCACGTAGTTGTAGAGAGTGATGAGGTCTCCCCGCAGCCTCCTCTTCCTCCAACTAAACAGTCCCAGCTCCTTCAATCACTATTCATAAGATTTATTCTCCAGGCCCCTCACCAGCTTCGTTGCCCTCCTCTGCACTCACTCCAGCACCTTGATATCTCTCTTGGATTGAGGTGCCCAAAACTGGACACAACACTCGAGGTGTGGCCTCCCCAGTGCTGAGTACAGGGGCACAATCACATCCCATTTCCCCTGCACAGCAGAGGTGCTTACTCAGAGGCTCCTCGCCGGCTTCCTCCTCCCCGCTCAGCAGAGACATTTCCGGCCGCGACTTGAGAACCTGCTCCTGGGCTTGAACTGACTTCAGGAGAAAGGCACGCCAGATGCCGGTCACCTATCAGGAAGCAAGTGAATTATTTCGCCTGTATGAATAGAGGGTATTTAGCAATAAGTTGTTCTATAAACAATGGTCCCGCAGCGCCCGGCCCTGCCGCGATAACCGGGTGCCGGCTGGTTGCTGCGCTGGCTGCTGCCACGCTGCTGTCTCAGGGTGAGATCTCCGCTCCTCGCCCGGCGGCAGCCTCAGCTGGAAGCTCATTTCTCCACCTGACTCTTGGTTTCCACCAAACTTGAACAAATCTAACAAAGTTGTTCACCAAAAGAAAGCTTGGCTGAAGTCTGCCAAGGGAATGGAGGCAGGTGCTGCCAAAGCGCCAAAGCCTCATTTTCCACAGAAAATCAAGTTAAATGAGTGAAAGCCCTTTTTTTGATTCTGACAAGCGTTTGTGTGGAGGAGAGAAGGTTCCAGGGAGACCTTAGAGCCCCTTCCAGTCCCTCAAGGGGCTCCAGGAGAGATGGGGAGGGACTCTGGATGAGGGAGGGGAGCCCTAGGAGGAGGGGGAAGGGTTTGACCCTGAAAGAGGGGAGATGGAGCTGAGCTGTGGGGAAGAACTTGTTTGGTGTGAGGGTGGGGAGAGCCTGGCCCAGGTTGGCCAGAGAAGCTGTGGCTGCCCCATCCCTGGAGGGGTTCAAGGGCAGGTTGGAGGGGGCTTGGAGGGACCTGGTGTGGTGGGAGGTGTCCCTGCCCAGGGCAGGGGGTGGCACTGGGGGGGCTTTAAGGTCCCTTCCAACCCAAACCTTTCTGTGATTTTATGATTCTATGATCAGTGAGACTTTTCATGGATTCTCAGTGTAAATTTGACAAGGCTGGTTTGTGCCCCGTTGCTGCTCAGCGACAATTCCCTGGCCATGGAAGCACCTTGGCCGCCCTCTCTACCCTCTCCAGCCTCTGGCGCGGGGGATTTTGGTAGGACAGATATTTTTTAACAAGGTTTGCCAGCCCAAATTGAAGGCAACTTGAATCTGCACTTGAATACAGAACTTATTCCTCTTGGTTTTAACTCAGAGAAATGTTCAAGTAGGAAAAAGGTTTCTGATAATCATCTTAAAAGGCATCGCTGGCACTTGGTTGGGTCACCATCAGCCAGAAACAGGAAAAACATTGGAAAGAGCACAGAAAAAAACTTGACAAAAATATAGAGGGTGACCTTTGTTTCTACCAACCTCAGCATAGAGGGAGTTTGCAATGTCCGTTTTGTTCTGGCGGAAGAAAACATTGGCCATGTGGAAATACCCTCCAGAGACCTCGAGGGACTTTAGTCCAAATGCGGAACTGGCAACGTAAATCTGAAATCGACAGTAAAGAAGAAAAAGCTGAAGTTTAATGTTTATATCAAACCTGGGGGGGGAGGGGGGATTTTTTCACTATGGATTAATAATTTTGCAAGCAGTCCTTTTTTTTTTTTTTTTTCTGTGTAACTACAGTGTTTGTTACACCTGATCACGATGGTAAAATGTGGTACTAAACGAGCTGTATTTTGGGGTTTAATGCAGGGGAATGCAATGCCCCCAAACCCCCTTCTCAGGGAGCGACCCCCCCTGCTGGGGCAGGTCTCCCACATCTCCTTCTCTCTCTCCACCACCCGTAACTCTCTGTCTCTGCTTTTCCACCCCCCTGTCCCTGCCCGTGTCCCCCCCTGGCAGCCCCAGCCAGGGCAGGGGGGAGGCAGAGGCACATTCCAGCTATTCTGAGCCGGCGTGTGACTCTCAGCAGATCTCAGACACGCAGCCAAAACTCCAGGCAGCTCTGGGGCTGCTCTGACGTAGCGCAGAGACTTGCTAATAGCAAAATTTAAAAAAAAAAAAAGCAGGGGGGATTTTTTCCCTACGGATTAATAATTTTGCAAGTAGTCCTTTTTTTTTTTTTTTTTTTTTTTTGTACCGTCTTGAGGCAGAACTGCTGATTCAATATATGTTTTAAAAACCCTAGACCTTCTCTTTACTGTACAGAGACGCGGAGCGATCCCACATAGGGAACCAGACTACAGGAGGCTCAGCTCAGGCCCTGCTCAGTGTTCCACCCCCCTGTCCCTGCCCGTGTCCCCCCCTGGCAGCCCCAGCCAGGGCAGGGGGGAGGCAGAGGCACATTCCAGCTATTCTGAGCCGGCGTGTGACTCTCAGCAGATCTCAGACACGCAGCCAAAACTCCAGGCAGCTCTGGGGCTGCTCTGACGTAGCGCAGAGACTTGCTAATAGCAAAATTTAAAAAAAAAAAAACAAACCACCCCAATTACCCGATGCCCTTTCAGGCAGCAGATTTAGGGTACCCCAAAAACCCAATGGCACAGCGGGGAATTTCCCCAAAGGTCTCCAGACTAAACCAAAACAGGGCTTTATATATTATAATAGAAAGGATCTAATCCTCCCCCGCCTGTATGTCATCATTTACGCCCACACAAAGCTGCTATCAAATGCAACAGTAGTGAGGAGGCATCACTCGGCACCGGGTAAATTTAGTCTCCGTGGGCCAGAAATAGGATGTCGCGAAGTTCATCTGCATTCGGGGGATCAAATGACAGACAAAGCATCCTCAGGAACGCAGGTGGCAACAGCCACGTCAGACCCACGCTGGGGGCTTAAAAATTAAAAAAAAATGGAATCGGGGAAAACGGTATTGAACCAGACATTTAAATAGTTCAATAAGGTCGTTCATTAAATAACGGCTGGCAGAGAGCTGCTGCCGAACGGAAAAATGTTGAGGAAAATGACAGCCAAAATAGGAACTAACTTGTCTGTTGAATAAAAGGCAACTATCCCAGTTTGAACAGATATCTGCTCATCTCAGTCCTGTAACACAGCTGAGAGAGACATTTCTCAGCAGATGCAGCGAAGAGAAGGTGTGTGTGTGTCACTTCAAGGGGATAAGTGACAGGCTGAGAGAGCAGGGGGATTCAGCCTGGAGAAGAGAAGGCTCCAGGGAGACCTTCCAGCCCCTTCCAGTCCCTCAAGGGGCTCCAGGAGAGATGGGGAGGGACTCTGGATCAGGGAGGGGAGCCCTAGGAGGAGGGGGAAGGGTTTGACCCTGAAAGAGGGGAGATGGAGCTGAGACGTGGGGAAGAACTTGTTTGGTGTGGGGGTGGTGAGAGCCTGGCCCAGGTTGGCCAGAGAAGCTGTGGCTGCCCCATCCCTGGAGGGGTTCAAGGGCAGGTTGGAGGGGGCTTGGAGCAACCTGGTGTGGTGGGAGGTGTCCCTGCCCAGGGCAGGGGGGTTGGAACTCCATGATCTTTAAGGTCCCTTCCAACTCCAACCATTCTCTGATTCCATGAATAAGGCTAACAGGTAAAACACAACTTTGATAACACAGGGACACCCCGGTGTCTGAGAACCAGAGAGTTCAGGTGTTTGTACCGTGCACCCTCTCGGTACCTAAAATCTGGGTTGCAAATCTGCCTGCTGGGGTTTTCCTGTCCATCTGGAAGTGTTAGAGATGAAGAAATATCGCAGCGTTTCTGTATTTGGGTTGGCTTACATCATTTGCCAGGTGATACAAAGCCTGCTCGAAGTCTCCTTTCGCAGCCCAGAAGAGCCCCAGCCCGCGGTGCAGCTGGCACTGAAGAGCAGGGCTGCAGTCGGGGGCGGTGAGCACCATCCACTCGGCCCGGGAGAGATACCTCGATGCCTCCTGGAAATGGCCAACACCTGAAACGACACAAAGAAATAAGCAGGGTATAGAGTATTTTTATTTTTTTTTTAATTTAGAGCACGCTGCCTGCTGTCCCCACGCAGCAGTTTGATAGGGAGACTGAAGTCTCTGGATTCCCCACCTCTCTCCCGAGCAGGTGTTCAAAATTCCCTTTACAGACGGGCCCTGTGGCCGGAGCTGCGGGAGAAGCCAGAAGCTGTGTGTTGCACTGAATACCTCTGAAACACGTGTTCAACAGGGGTTAGCTACAGGCAGCCACTAATGACTCCTTTATTATCACACTGGAATTACTCATGGGATTTTTTTTTTTTTTCCCCCTTCTCTTGCTACACCATTTACGACAATCCCCGGGACAGCTCAGTTCTGCCAGCAGAGCATTGTATTTACTCCTCTAAGGGCAATGATTTACGGTGATTTCTCAGATTTACGTCTGCGACTGAGGAGAGCGGGTTCTCCACATGCAGAGCCCTAATTTGACTTTTTTTTTTTTTTTTTTAAATAAAGCACACCTTCAGTGAGAAAAAGCCCCGCTGCAGGCAGAGCACACTTTTGTGAATGAAGGGAGGCGTTCCCCTGATGCAGCAGCCTCAGAGATGTTTGCTGGTTCCCAGAGATAAGAGCACAACCAACCACCCTCGGGAATTTAAAGCTTTTGAGAGTTATTAGGAAGCCACAGAGGTAAAGAATAGATTTTCATACTGTGCCTCCTGTGGGAATCGGCAGAGATGGAGAAAACATTTCATTTGCTCTCATTGATCTCTCAGCACCGATGAGTGATTCTTTTCCCCAGATCCACACAAAAAACGGGGTGTGTGGGTGTGTGTGTGACTTCTCAAACCTCTCTGAAATGCCCTTGAGGGCAGGGCAGAGAGGCAGCACAACGCTGAAAGGCAGAGCTGGTCCTTCCCTGGTGGTAAAAGGAAACCAGAAACCTGACCCAGGGGAGGTCTTGCCCCTGCCAGCGTTTCTATTTAGACAATACTCACCAGTGGAGGCCTCGGCCAAGAGGAGATAAGCGGGCACCAGTTGCAGGGAATGGGAGCCGTGCACCTCGGTGCTGAAGCGCAGCGCGTGCAGGGCCGCGGGGAGGGCTTCCTGGTGCTTCCCCTCCAGCACAAACTCCCGGGCTGTGCCGTACGCCAGCTCGATGAGGTATTTCTGCAGGGAAACAGTAATGGGACAGGGTGAGCACAGGATAAAGGGAAGCGACACGCTCGGTCTGCTTCACATTCAAGTTTGCAAACTGTAAAGCGGTGACTGTAATGTTGTTTGTGTCTGTAATTAATGGATGGAAATTAAAGCTGTTATATTAGAGCCTGGCTTTCATTCCCACTTCTCGCAGGAACAGCTTTGGACACCCTCTCAGGTCATGTGCTTTCTTATGAGACGAAGAATCCTTTACGCCGCTGAAAAAAAGGGCTAATAAGGCTGCAGCAATAAAAGCTGTGAAGCACAGAAAATGATCATCACAAGACCATAGGAAAGATTAGACAAAAGGGGCTACGGCGGGGCTCTGCTGACGGTAATCACGGTGACTCACAGCAGGCAGCAGAGCGTGGGGTTTGCCAGGCTGGTGCCAGCATGGCTCACCTCCAGCCGCAGAGACGCGGCCTGGGAGCGGGGAGAGAGCTCCTCACGCGGTGCTGCAGCTTCATCCCACCCTCTCCTGGCCACCTCTGGGCCTGGTATTTTTGGGTGCAGAGGCTGGAAAGCTGGTCAAAATCAGAACACACTAACACGCTGTGTTACACTCCCGCACATCCACCACCCCCGCCGGCTCCAGTGGCGGAGTGGCTTCTGCAGCATTTCTGTTTGTGGCCAGAATCCATAGTGTTTCCCATACATATAGTTACTTCCTGCCTTTTGCCGCTTCTCCCAGCCCACATTTTGGTTTTTGATCTTTTCACCCTTTGCAGCATCTGATCTATTCACCAGCTCCATAAAACACATCTCTGCTCGGGTGCCTGCGCGTCGCCGAGAGCTCTACGGCAACCGTGCCCTCACCCCGCGCCGAGGGACGCCAGCGAAGCAGAGCTGGGATGCTGTGTTATTTATGACTCTTTGCTTTCAGAGTAGTTGTTGCCAACTCCCAACACTTCTGCGTTGGGTCTTCACACGAGCAGTGCAGCAGGAAAGCTGCCTGGAGAGCAATCCTGTTGCCGGTGTGCCCAGCGGTGCTGCCCTGGAATGTCAGCGAGGCACTCGCTGTTCTCTTGCTAGGAGGCACGGGCAGGCCCGTGCAGCGAGCGCCGGCACAAAATACCATTTTATGTCTTGATTGCCTTCTGCTTTCCAGCCGTGGATGAGCAGAGGGCAGAAAAACCAAATCCCAGTGCTTTTGGAGGCCAAGCTTGGGCATTTCCCCCTACCATAAAAAAGACATTGAGGAGCTGGAGCAGGTCCAGAGAAGGGCGACAAAGCTGGTGAGGGGTCTGGAGAATAAGTCTGATGAGGAGAGGCTGAGGGAACTGAGGTTATTCAGCCTGGAGAAGAGGAGGCTGAGGGGAAACCTTATTGCTCTCTCCAACTCCCTGAAAGGAGGGTGTAGAGAGGTGGGGGTCGGTCTCTTTTCTCAAGTCACAGGTGACAGGACAAGAGGAAATGGCCTCAAGTTGCCCCAGGGGAGGTTCAGGCTGGATATTAGGAAAAATGTTTTCAGTGAAAGGGTTCTCAGCCATTGGAATGGGCTGCCCAGGGAGGGGGTTGAGGCCCCATCCCTGGAGGTGTTCAAAAGACGGGTTGATGTAGTGCTGGGAGGTCTGGTTTAGTGATGATGCTCCTTGATTGTTGTGTGGGTGTCTATTCTTGTCAGTGAGGTTGACGGTTGGACAAGATGATCTTTAAGGTCCCTTCCAACCTGGAAGATTCTGTGATTCTGTGATTTTGCTGAGTTTTAAGCACTTAGAGAGAGGCAGAGAGAGTCACACCACAGCTCAGGGACAGGGAACGTCAAGGACAGCCCAAGAGTGTTTCCTGGAGATCCTGGCTGAGATAAAGGGACACCCTTTCTCGAGAAATGAGAGCTTTGAAGAACACACCCCAGAGTGAGAGCACTCTGCTGCAGCGAGGAGAACCAAGAGCTGGAAAACACAGCGGGCACCCCCTCTCCAGCCCCTGAGCACAGAGTGAAAAAGCACCGAAACAAAGCTGTGCTGGGGGAGCGTGCGCTGCGCAGGAGAAAGTCAGCACACGCTCGGGGCAAGGAGCAGTAAAAGCTGTTATTTATCAGGCTGTATTTCTGTCTGTGCCACTCTTTCTCTGTTGAGAGTGAAAAAGCACCAAAACAAAGCTGTGCTGGGGGAGCGTGCGCTGCGCAGGAGAAAGTCAGCACACGCTCGGGGCAAGGAGCAGTAAAAGCTGTTATTTATCAGGCTGTATTTCTGTCTGTGCCACTCTTTCTCTGTTGCAACTGGCACTGGCTTTGGTGTGCGGGTTTCAAGCAGATTCTCATCTGGGGAGGTGCTGGGGATGAGCATCATTCCTTTTTTACTCCTTGTCAATAGGATCATCGCTGCTTCCCACGATGTAAGTTATCTTAAAACACCTGCAGCGAGGATGAGCAAAGGGATAGGCTCTTGCACAGCTCCCAGGAGGAGAAGAAAGGGCAGGAGAACAACAGAAGCCCTGCAGCGCCGAATATTTAAGCCTGCGAAGTTACAAGCCTCGGGGGGATCGTTGGCTTTGGCCCTTTGCTGTTTTTCATCTTGCCCCGTAGCCCCCACGCCCCCGGACCTGCACGATTTGGGCTCTTTTCATGTGTGTTGCAATTACAGAGGTTGCTCTGAAGATGCCCCCACGCAGTTTTCCCCCAGTTGGGGTTTTGAGGACCCCAGCTCTGCTCCAGGTGGGCGGCAGGGGGGGGTTGGAACACACTTGGGGTTCGGTGCCACATTCCTTTCCTCACTCACAGGCACCAAAACCGACGGAACGGTTGAAGAAAGGCTGATTTAAAGAGGAAGGCAGGCTTCCAGTCGGTCTGAGTTGAAACCTGCAGTCGTCGGGGCCAGCATTGGAGCTGGAGGATGCTGGAGCTGGCTGGGGCATGGATCTTTTCCCGTGCCCAGGGGCTGCGGTGAGCTGACATCAGGCAGGCAGGTGAGGCCATTCTACAAACAGAAACTTGGAGATTTGTCAGTTTGGAGGCAGTGTCTGCAGGCACCCCCCCGGCTATGTTGACAAAAGCAGATTTCTATCAACAAAGCCTTGGCGTACAGAGGAGGTAACTCATAACCTCCTGGCTCTCGGCTTCGTGCACCTTCCCCCAAGCCACAGGGCATTTTGATGTGCACCAGCTTCCCTGCGGCCCGACTGAGGCTTGAGCTGCGTGTTTTCTAAACAAACACCAGGCAGGAGTGTGTGAAGTACAGCAGAAACGTTCAAAAAATAACAAACCTATGGACAGGCTTTGAGCACAAGGTTTTTTCTGTGACCATCATGAGGCTACCTAGCTTTTCCTTCAGCTCCAAAGCCATTTTTTAAAGCATTTTAGTTGGCTCTGTGAATGGGGATGCCATGAAGCCACCAAGAGGGGCAGTAAATAATCTCACTCTCTCCATTCTGCTCCTCCAGCGCCTGTCAGTCAGTCCAGGCCCAACGCTGTCTGTCTGTCCTACACCTCACTGCACATAACGGCACATTTCATTTGTGGGCTACGAGCTGAGACCATAAAGAAAGAAAACAGGTAACGGGGTGTTTCCGCTCTTTCACTCCTTCCTCAGGAGAGAAGGAAGACAAAGCGTCCCAGCACGTACCGTTCCCAGAATCTATTTTAATTTAAATAGTCTGGAGACAAAGGTCAAAGAACAAATGTAATAGGGTTGTTAAAGATCCTATAAAAAACTGTACTTTGGAAAAAAAAATAAAAATCAGAGTCTGCTCTCTATGACTTTTCCCATGAAGTCATTCCAAGGCCGGGCTCAAGCTGCAGGTTCGCAGTTGCCGGGTGCTAACCCGGGCGTGCACCCCAATCGAGGGGAGTGACTCCCTTCTCCCTGGCTTCCTGCTGTCTTCCCTTGCAACCTTATTAAAAAAAAAAAAAAGAAAAGATTAGCTTCCAGCTAGTGAAGAAGCACTTCCTTGATCTGGCAGTCACATGGCATCTTGGAATGTATACAGCAGAACTTGAGCTGCTATAAATTCAGTGACGTAATCACGGATGCTTTCAACGTCAGTGCTCAATGTATAGGTGAAGTCTCTCAGAAAAGCTTTAAGTGGTCAAGGATGCAAAAAAGTCCTGCCATCGCCCCCACTGAGACCAATTTTAACTCTCTTCTTTGCAGGATTTATAAAAGATCAACTTAAACATAAACTGGAACAAAGGAGCTTTGCATTTTTTCCTCATGCTCCCGGGACACGCTGTTCTCACACACCTTCTTTGGACTTTGGTCAACAATCTCACCTGGGATTTTCAAACAGATGGGGTTTTAAAAAACAAACTGGGTTGTCAGTGCCCAATTCCTAGGAAGCCTAAAGGCATCTGCCGCCTAAAGCCTGTCGCAAGGTTTTCACCAAGCAGGATTTTTGTCTGCGCAGGTTCCACCCCTTTTAGGCTTCCTCTTTCTGGATGCTCCCAAGAAAGATCGCTGCGTCGAGCCAGTCACCGAAGTTCCTTAAAAATAATACGTGATGCAAAATCCAGGAGATTAATGATGTTCTCAGTGGCACCGTTTGATTGTTCCCAGCTTGCTTTCAGCTGTTCTGTTGTCCTATTATTCTGCGATTAGGAGTTATGCAACGATAGAAGGATAATTTATTTTTATGGGCAAGATGATTTCAAGCAGCAGATGTATTCGGGTGGGTTATTTTATTTTATCAACATTGTGGAAAAGCAGATCCCGCCACCCCGTAAACAAAACAAAAAGAGCTGAAAACCGCTGGGGCTGGAAAGGAGCCGCACATCTGCACCGCCCACGAGGCCCAAACGCAGAGATAAAAGACCGTACTTAGTGGGAAAGGGCGTTTAAAGTTGGCCAGGTAAACAAAGGCAGGGGACTTTATTTCTTTGCCCTCTCCTGCTTCGAGAAAGGGGAATCCCTCTCATCGGGGTGGGGGGGTGAGGGCAGCCTGTAAGAAGAAAAACTCATCTGGATCCCAGACTAACCAGGGAGATGGACTAATTACCCAGCAAGGTGGGAGATCCAGGATTGCTGCTGCCTGAGGAGGCTCAGGGCTTTGAGTGAGGACTGTGAAAAAGGCAAGAGGCTCGTAGGATCGGAGAGAGGATGCTCCCGCTCCCCTTATTATAGAGCTTCTGTTTAAAAAAAAAAAATATCAGAGCTCTGCAACCAAGAACCGATCAACCAACAAGGTGCCCCCCCCAACACTACATACATCAAAGCACAGGAAGAAGAGACCTAATTGAATTTCACTGCCAGCGCTTTGAAGTGGCATTCGTTTCTCTTGTACGTACCTGCCTCTTCAGCAGCTGCTCTGCGCCGTGTTTTCTTTCTTTTTCAGAAAGGAGAAAAGGGAGGGGAGTTCGGATTGGAATCAGCAGCTGGCATATTTGCTGGTGGATACTAACCCAGTCAGCTTTTTGATGATCTACATCGCTAACAAAAGAAGGGAAGAACAAGATTTGTGTTTGCTTGGGAACGATCTAAGGAAAGATCATTGCCTGTTTGTGTCTTCTGGACTCTCACTGCAAGAATTACCCGCAGCAGCCACCACCCCTCAGCCTGCTCACCGAGTACCCAGTACATGTACTGGATATTCCCACACAGGAACACAGCGCTGTCCTGCCAAGTCACCGTGATTCTGCATGTTAAACGTCATTTAAATCACCCATAAAACTCCCAACAGTCCAGTCTGAGCAAATGCCTGGCTTTCAACTCTGCGGTACACAAAATAAAAGCCCAAAGCCAAACAAACCCCAAGCCATTGTGAATGGAACACATAGTTAATGTGTGACTTCACTGAGGGTAGCAGTAAGTGAAGATATTTGTGTAAACATCCAAGAAGTTCATTGCATGACTCTCGATTTGATGTGGGCACCACTGGAAGGGAGGAGGAACGCTCCAGCTGAGCCATTGCTGAGTGTGCCTGCTCCCTTTCCACTACCCTGCCTGCTGAGCTTTGTCCCAGCTCTTGTTCCTGCTGCCTGGGCTCCATCCTAGGCTTCACCCCCGTATCCTAAGCCTGGTCCTAAGGCTTGTGCCTGTATCCTGAGCCTCATCCCAGGGCTAGTCCCTGCCTCTTGCCCTATCCCTGTGTCTCAGACCACATCCCAGGCTTTGTTCCTGTCACTCAGCCCTCGCCTTGGGCCTGTCCCCGGGGTCTAGGCCTGTTCCTGCCTCCTGGGCCTCGTAGTGACCCTTCTCCTTGTGCCTTGAGCCTTGTCCTGGGCCTGTTCCTGCCCCCTGGGCCTCGTAGTGACTCTTCTCCTTGTGCCTTGAGCCTTGTCCTGGGCCTGTTCCTGCCCCCTGGGCCTTCTCCCTGCGCGCTGGTTCTTGTCCTGGGCCTGTTCCTGCTCCCTGGGCCTTGTCCCGGGGTTATTCCCTGCTCCTTGCCCCGTCCCCGTGCTCCAGGGCGTCTTCCCGGGCCTTCTTCCCGCGCCCCCTCCCAGGTTGCGTCCCGCGCCTCCCCCGTGGCCTAGTCCCCGGTGCCGGCCCACCGGCGGGGCTCTCACCAGTAGTACGTGAGGCGGCAGCCCTCGCAGCGGACCCGCGCCGCCGCCGCCCCGCACAGCTCGCAGCGGCGGGACCCCTCCAGCGCCGCCACGTTAGGCCGCGCCGCCGCCGCCGCGTTGCCAAGGCGACGCTTCCGGCTGGCACCACTTCCGGCGGAAGTGGGCGGGGCCGGGCGCCTTAAAGATCACATAGTTCCAATCCCCCCTGCCATGGGCAGGGACACCTTTCACTAGGCTTTCATATAATAGAATCATAGAATCACAGAATGGCTCAGAGTTGGAAGGGACCTTAAAGATCATTGAGTTCCAATCCCCGCCTTCCCCTGGGCCAGGGTCCTCCCGCCGCCCGGGCCCGCCCTGCTCGACGCCCTCCTCCTCACCCCCGGGCCGCCGCCCGGCGTGGCCGCCGACCCTGCCGCTCTCCCCGCCCTCCTGCCCGCCCTCCGCGACTACCGCCGGGCTACCGAGGACGGGGCGCTGCTGGCCATCGAGTTCACTGGGCTCGCCGAGTATCTGGCGCTGCTGAAGGCCGCCGCCCGCGCCCTGGCGCCCTTCGGTACGGAGAGGGGACGGGGCGGCACCGGCCAGGGGCCCAGGCGTGAGGGGACAAGGTGACCCCGGGGCTAGTGGTGTGAGAGGACAAGCTGGCCCGGAGCCCAGGTGTGAGGGGACGAGGTGACCCCACTGACCGTGGAGCCCAGCTGTGAGGGGACAAGGTGCCCCTGGTGACCCCAGGGCCCAGCTGTGAGGGGACAAGGTGGCCCAGAGCACAGGTGTGAGGGGTCAAGATGGCCCTAGTGACTGCAGGACCCAGCTGTGAGGGGACAAGGTGGCCCCAGTGATGCAGGACCCAGCTGTGAGGGGACAAGGTGGCCCAGAGCACAGGTGTGAGGGGTCAAGATGGCCCTAGTGACTGCAGGACCCAGCTGTGAGGGGACAAGGTGGCCCCGGGGCGCAGGTGTGAGGGGATGAGGTGGCCTCAGTGACTGTGGGACCCAGGTGTGAGGAGACAAGGTGGCCCTGGAGACAAGGTGTGAGGGGACAAGGTGGCCCAGGTGAGCCCCGGGTCAGTGGTGTGAGGGGACAAGGTGGCCCTGGAGACAAGGTGTGAGGGGACAAAGTGACCCCACTGACTGTCGAGCCCAGTATGAGGGGACAAGGTGGCCCTGGAGAACACAAGGCCCAGGTGTGAGGGGACCAGGCCACCCCAGTGACTGTGGGGCCCATTTGTGAGGGGACAAGGTGATGCTGGGGCCCAGCTGTGAGGGGACAAGGTCATCCTGGTGACTGTGGGGCTCATTTGTGAAGGGGCAAGGTGAGTCCGGGGCCCAGCCCTGAGGGGACAAGGTGGCCCTGGTGATTGTAGCCCAGCTGTGAGGGGACAAGGTAACCCCAGGGCTCAGCTGTGAGGGGCTGAGGTGGCCTCTGGGGCTTTGGTGTAAGGGGACAAGATGGCCCAGAGTCCAGCTGTGAGGGGACAAGGTGGCCCCGGAGACAAGGTGTGAGGGGACAAGGTGACACCATTGACTGGAGCCCACGTGTGAGTGGACAAGATGGCCCTGGTGATGCTGGGGCCCAGCTGTGAGGGGACAAAGTGGCCCTAGTGACTGCAGGACCCAGCTGTCCGGGGACAAGGTGGCCCCGGGGCTCAGGGGTGAGGGGATGAGGTGGCCTCAGTGACTGTGGGCCCCAGGCATGAGGGGACAAGGTGACACCATTGACTGGAGCCTACGTGTGAGTGGACAAGAGGGCCCTGGTGATGCTGGGGCCCAGCGGTGAGGGGACAAAGTGGCCCTAGGGACTGCAGGACCCAGCTGTCCGGGGACAAGGTGGCCCCGGGGCTCAGGGGTGAGGGGATGAGGTGGCCTCAGTGACTGTGGGCCCCAGGCATGAGGGGACAAGGTGGCCCCGGGGCTCAGGTGTGAGGGGATGAGGTGGCCTCAGTGGCTCTGGGGCTCTGGTGTGAGGAGACAAGGTGTCCCTAGTGACTGTTGGGCTTGCATGTGAGGGGACAAGGTGGCCCCAGGGCTCAGGCGTGAGGGGATGAGGTGGCTTCAGTGACTGTGGGGCCCCAGGTGTGAGGGGACAAGGTGGCCTTGGGGCTCAGGCGTGAGGGGATAAGGTGACCCCAGACCCAGGCATGAGGGGACAAGGTGGCCCCAGTGCCTGTTGGGCCTGCACGTGAGGGGACAAGGTGGCCCCAGGGCCTATTTGTGAGGGGACAAGGCAACCCCAGGGCCCCAACGTGAGGGGACAAAGTGGCTCCAGTGACCATGGGGCTCTGGTGTGAGGGGGCAAGGGGACCCATGGTAGCTTCTGTCCCCCAGCATGAGGGTCTGGATCATTCCTGGGGGCTTTTGGGGCTTTGTATGGGGGGATGAGGCAGTCCTGGTGGGTGACAGTGTGTCTGAGGGGACCCCAGTGTGTGGGGTCAGCGCTGCCCAGCCCAGGATGGTGCCAGTAGGTGACAGTGAGGTCTGTGACAGGGTCCTTGGGCTCCCCTAGTCAGTGGGGGGGACACTTGGGAGCCCCAACTGGCTTTGGTCTGTGCCTGGGGTGGGAGGGCCAGGCTGCTCGGTACGTGCCAGCGGCGATGGGTGACAGCAGTTGTGTTTCTTGCAGGCTCCAGAGTCATGTTTTACCTGGCAGCCGCCGTGTCGGATTTCTACATCCCCACCTCGGAGATGCCCGAGCACAAGATCCAGTCCTCGGAGGGGCCCCTGCAGGTGAGGCACCCCCGGGCATGGCCCCCCTCTGCCGTCCCCTCCTCCTGTCCCCGCGTCCCACCGGGCTCCCGGCTGCCTGGGGACCGGCTGGGAACAAAACCTGGGAAAGGCTGCAAAGCAACGGCTCGCTGGCCAAAAAAATTGGATGTTTTCACTGGGAATGGGGAGGTGAATTTCCATGGAAGCAGAATCCTATGGAGATATCCCTTTAAAGTGGTAGAGCACGGAGAGCAGTGGATGGTGGATCTCGTGCAGCTGAAGAGCAGTTGCTGCTGCAGTACTTGTGTTGCCATTTTTCTGCTTAACCCTGACAGCAGCCCAGATCCCTTTCAGCTATGGGAGCAGGTGAATCTAGAGCTCTGTATAAAACAAATATGGACTTTATTTAGTTTAGTTAGCTTTTAACAAGCTGCTGGGCTTCACTCTTTATCCTCAGCATAGGAAGAGTGAAACCCTGCCCGATTCCCAGTGTCAGACCCAGAGGTTAAGAAGCTGGAAAACAGAGACTTCTTTTTCCCTCATGCCTTAAAGAGTTGCTAGAAAGAAGGATGAAGATTTGACAAGGTGTCTGGGTTTTGGAGAGCTGAGAACTCAGACTTCTGCAGTTAATTTAATTCTCTCTCTCTCTTTCTCTCTCTCTCTCCCATAATTGAAGCGGCTGCCCATGATGTTGCTGATGCACGTATCAGATTTGCACGCCATGCGCGGCTCTCGCTGGTTCCTGTGGCAGCAGCCTGCAGCCCCCTGTCTGCTCTGGTTCAGGAGGGGATGGAGCTCCTGGTTGATTGCAGGTTATAACGGGCACTTTAGGATCTGTTTGCTTCCTTCCAGGAGCAAAATGCAATCTCGGTCTGGCTCCCTGATAGACAGATGCTTTAGTCATTAGTGAGGTTTCTGTGACTACAACACTGTGTCCTAGCATGGGTGCACTTATCTCTTTTGTTCTGATTCGAAGCAGTGATGCTTTTCTCGCTCTTGTGCTCACGCGCTCGCTCGCTCTCTCCCCCTCTCTCTCTCTCTCTCTTGCCCTCTCTCTCTCTCTCTTGCCCTCTCTCTCTTTTTTATCTTCTTCTGCTTATGTTTATATTCCCAGAGTTGGTTTTAGTTCTTAAATAACAAAATGTTTATGCAGTTCCTGTGGGCCTGCTTCATCGCTTAAGAACACCCTGCTTATTGTTAACACCAGACCGATAATTTAATTTAATTTTACAGTGCACACCAGTGACATTTTAACCTTGTTTGGTGAGACCTGACCAAATACTGCCTTGGAAAACTTCCCAGTGTAAATATAATAAGAAGGGAGACTGGAATTTCCCTCGCCAGCCTGTCTCTTATTAAAATGCATCGCAATGCTTTTGCTGAAACTTTGCTCTCTTTCCCCAACACAGATCACAATGAAGATGGTGCCAAAAATGCTGTCCCCGCTCGTCAAAGAATGGGCCCCGGAGGCGTTCGTTATTTCATTTAAACTGGAGACAGATCCTTTGATCTTAATCGATAAATCACGGCAGGCACTGGAGAAATATCGTCACCAGGTGGTGGTGGCAAATATCCTGGAATCCCGGAGAACCTCTGTCATTATTGTAACCAAGGACTCGCAGACTCCTTTATCTCTTTCTGATGAGGAAATAGCGCAAGGCATGGAAATAGAGGAGAAGATAGTGAGCTATCTCCAGGGCCAACACACCGCCTTTATAGAGAAGAAAGTCTGAGGGTCGGCTTGGAGTGAAACAAGTGAAATTGTGCCAGAGAGAGAGCAGAGATGGAGCCAGTCTCTGCCCCAGGTAAATAAACAATCCTCAGTGAGACACTGTGGGAAGAGCTGCCGTCCAAACCCCTGTGACTTTCCAGCTTGGTCGAAATTGTGCCAGAGAGAGCAGAGCCGGAGCCAGTCTCTGCCCCAGGTAAATAAACAATCCTCAGTGAGACACTGTGGGAAGAGCTGCCGTCCAAACCCCTGTGACTTTCCAGCTTGGTTATGATTATTGTTGCTTGCTTTGAAAAAAGAAAAATACACTGAAGTGAAATCATTCCAGAGGATGGTGTGTGTTCTGGTGTCTCGTGAAGGAAAGGATATATTGCTTTATTTCTGTCCCATGGGCTGGGAGAGCCGGGAGGTGGAGAAATGGTAAATATCTCTGTATATAAAAAGATTTTCTTGAATCTGCCTCTTCAAAGTTTCTTTTCGAATTGTTGGCCGGAAGGAGTGGTGCTTTGCAGAAAAGATGATGTTCTGTTGCTATGACTGGAGCGGGGTGGCAGAGCTGGCCCTCGGCTGGTGTTGAACGTGGACGGTGAAACAATTGTGGCAAAGGCTGGAGGTGCCGGTTTGGAGAGAGCATCTGCTGCTCCAGGGGAGACCCCGTGGGCATCCCATGGACCTGTGCTTCCAGATCTCTGCTCAGAAACACGGTTCAAAGCACAGGTACTGGAGTGGTGTCCTTAAAGCAGCTGTTTCACAAGGGTTTGCCTTCCATCCTGGGGGTTCCCGGGGGGATGGAGGCAGGGAGACACGGCATGGAGCAGGAGTGGTGGTCCCTGAGCAGGGCCTGGGGACAGGACGGAGGAGGAGACAGTGAGGGTGGGAGGTGAAAGCAGGAGGGGCAGCAGTGACCGGCCTCAGAAGAGATGGAGTAAGAACTGGGACGTTCCTGGTTTTCTCTAAATCCTGCTTCCGTATGGTTACCAGCTTCTAAGCATATGTTCCTCCTGCTTACAAGAAGCAAAGTGTGCGATTTCATGGTGAAAAAAACGTAACCTCGGCTCTGCTGCTGTCCCTTGTGTGCCTGTGTGCCTGTGTGCCTGTGTACCTGCTGTCCTCCAAATACATCCGCTGGGAGCCTGGAAGGAGAGATGCTAACGGACAAGAACACAACTGAAGCCTCTCCAGAGGTGAGACTCTGCTGAAAACCACCGAGCATTCAAGAAGGCAACTTTTGTCATGACACTGATCACCTGAGAATCGGGCGTGCTCATAAAACGAGGAAAATAAACCCAGAAGAGCACGAAAAGAGCATGAGAATGGGCTCAGCGGGGCAGGAGGGAGCAGTGAGCGCTGAAGGAGGGTCTCGGTGCACAGGGAGGATGTGGTTGGCGGCGGGAGGAGCCGTCCAGGTTAGTCAGGAGCGCTGGGATCTGGGTAGTGACTTGTCAGGAGAAAAATTAACAGCTTCTCCATGGCAGGGACTGACACTCGGAGAAGGTGGAGAGAGAACAGGGGTGGAGACAGTCAGCTGTAGACATGGGAAGAGACCGTTGGAGAAGTGCAAGTAGGGAAGGAGAAGGTGGAACGTCCTGCACACGTGTTGTGTGCACTCATGAGCTCTGAGAGCTGCATGGCTTCCTCTCCCAGCACGTGCTGGAGGGGACCATCCGGCCCTGGAAGTGGAGGAGGTTCTGTTGTCCCTCTCTGGAGTCTCGCAGAAACGCGGGATGGGCCGGCAAAGGGGAGAACATGGAAACTTGTGCACATTGAACGTTCCCTTGCAGGAGCGTTAGGATGAGGGATGGGAGAAGGGCAGCAGATGCTGACCCTGGAGGATTCTGGGCTTCTCTGGCAGGAGATGGTGAAGGAGAGAAACAATCGCAACTTCTGGAGGAGAAGGCTGGGACATCACATCGCTGGGACAACAAGGCTGGGACCCTGCAGGACCCTCGAGGGGCTACGCCGTTCATCCCTGCAGGATGTCCCTTCCTCCTCCTTCAGGAGGGTGGCAAAGCCCAGGTTGGGGAGACTTTCAAAGCTCAAACTACGCCCCAGCCACCCCACTCCAGGGCCGGTGATGGTCCTCCTGTGGGCAGGAGGTGGAACTGAGACCCCCAGAGCTCCCATCCTACCAACTCCCATCCCACCAACACTGGCGCTGGCAGCGTTCCGGGACCATCCCTTTTGGGGATGCCACTGTGGAACCATAAGTAGGAAGGAACTTCTTCAGGTCCAGGACTGTCCGTGTGTCGCTTGCTGAGCATCCCAGACTGTGCTCAGCTGAAGGTCCTCACCTTCAAGAAGAAGTGTCCCTCTTCTCCATGTCTTGATCTATTTCTTTCTCCACCATTCTCTTGCTGGTGAGGCAGCTCTGAGGGATGAAGCCCGCTTTGTCCCTTGCAGTTTCTCCATCCATCTCAGCATCACCTACCTGCCCCACCTTGGGTGAAGCCCTTCATCTCCAGCAGCTCCACCTTGGGGTTTGGAAGAAAACCAGAAAAAACCTTCAGCCCATTTTGCTTCAGTTTTGGTAGATCCTTTGTGCAATGGATTTAAGGAGCGGGTGAAGACAGGGAGGCCCTAAATGCCACTGGTTTTATGGCCGGGAGGGGGGACATTTCTTCCTTGATCACCTGAAGGAGAAGGGGGACTGTGGTTGCGCTGCCCAGGAGGGGTCATGTCCCAAGCAGATGTTACTGCTCTCCATCATTTTTGGGAACTCTTGGAGAGCAGGAGAAGCGCCTGAGGACTGGAGGAAGGCAAATATCACTCCAGTCTACAAAAAGGGCAAGAAGGAGGACCCAGGGAACTACAGGCCAATTAGTCTCACCTCTGTCCCTGGGAAAATAATGTGGCAACTCATTCTGGATGTCATCTCCAAACACACTGAAGATCAAGAAGTTATTGGAAGTGGCAAGGGCAAATCATGCTCGACCAATCTGACAGCTTTCTATGATGTTATAACTGGATGGCTGGAGAGGCTGTCATCTACCTTGACTTCAGCAAGGCTTTTGACACTGTCTCCCATAACATGCTCATTAGAATATTAAGGAAGTGTGGGCTGGATGAGGGGGCAGTGAGCTGGATTGAGTCCTGGCTGTGTGACAGAACTCAGAGGATTGTCATTAATGGAGCAGGGTCAAGTTGGAGGCCTGTAACCAGTGGTGTCCTCCAGGGGCCAGTACTCAGTCCAGTCCTGTTCAACATGTTCATCAATGACCTGGACAAGGGGACAGAGCGTATCCTCAGCAAGTTCTCTGGTGATACCAAACTGGGAGGGCTGGCCAACACTGCAGAGGGCTGTGCCACCATCCAGTGTGACCTGGACAGGCTGGAGAGCTGGGCAGAGAAGAACCTCATGAGGTTCAACAAGGGCAAGTGTAGGGTCCTGCACCTGGGGAGGAAGAACCCCAGGCACCAATAGAGGTTAGGGGTGGAGCTGCTGGAAAGCACTTCTGAGGAGAAGGATCTGGGGGTCCTGGTGGACAG